CCCGAAGTTATGGTAGGCATAATGGATGTGTCCATAACACGAAGACCCTTCACGCCATACACGCGCAACTCATTGTCTACCACAGCCAATGTATCGTTTTCTGGACCCATTTTACAGGAGCCGCCGTGATGGTTCTCGGGGCCGGTGCGATAGCGTATAGCGCACTCCCAGTACTCATCAGTGCCGTAGTCGATCGATGCACATTGTGTTACTGGGGTCTTATTCAGGGTGAAGTTGAACTTTTGAAGCGCTGGCATTTCCGACAAACGTATGACAAACTTAATGGCATCAACAAGCGTTACGACATCATGATCCTCGGATAAGTAGTTGGCGACAAAAATTGGATCGGCAAGCGGATCATTGGAAGCAAGTGTAACGGAACCACGTGATTTCGGTTGCAATACGGCGGGAATAATATTCACGGAGCGCGAGCCATTCGATAGCAGCTCACCAATTGCACCGGTAGCGGAGCAACTAGCTGTGTAGCCACCGAATAAGAGTTGCACATCGGGTCCTCTTGATGGATCGGCGTGGTTGCTGCTAAATTTGGCAGTAATATCAGCAATACCAGTGCCAGACAGCATACCATTGCGGAAAAGCAGATATTCCATTGCAGTTGCCCAGTTTAAAGGGTTAGCATCGGTTTCGTTAACAAAGAAGTTTACATAATAGGAAACATGATTGTGTAGATTTTTACCAACACCGGGTAGATTGTGTACTGAAGTCACGTTGACCTGCGGAAAATTATATTTAGGTAGGTATTCAGAATATTTTTTTTCTCACAAATTTTTCGAATCATATTTACTTGTTCTAGTTCGTCAGCTGGTCCAATACCGCTAAGCAATAGTACTTTTGGTGAGTCCAAGGCGCCTGCGCTAACGACCACCTCGTTCCTTACGGATACCGTGAAAGTACGGTTATTCTTATCGATTAATTCGACGCCAGCAACGGTTTTACTATTCGGTTCGAAGAGCACTCTGGAAGCAGTGGTTTTAAGTAGAATGTGTAGGTTATTACGGTTTCGTGCGGGACGCAAGAATGCGCGTGCAGCACTAAAGCGAATGCCATCGCGAGAGGCCATCTGTGTTTGCATGAAGCCGGTGGCATTGTCACCATTCAAATTATGTATGCCATAGCCTAAAAGGAAAAAGGACAACGAACGGAACGGAAAACATAATGCAAAGTCGCTTGAAAATAAAATTAAATAGTACACACATTTATCATGTCGTGCGATATCGTATCCTGATAATGTCATATCATGCGATATATGATATTATGTGATATCTTATCATGTGATGTTACAACATTCGATACTACATCTCATGATGTTTAAAGTCTCAACTTACCCATTTGTGCTCCAGCCTCCAATATCGCATATGACAATGGTGGAGTGTAGGGGAAAAATGAAACAGGTAGTGGTCCACCGGTAGCATGAAAATCCCTACCAACCTGATTAATTTGCAAATTATTTTCGGATTTCTTAAAGTACGGCAATATTTCCTCGTACGACCAACCGGCATTACCCAAAGATGCCCAATAGTTATAGTCCTCACGATTACCGCGATTGTACGTCATGCCATTCACCACCGATGTGCCACCCAATACTTTGCCACGCGGCCAAGAGCACCGCTGGTTCGTATATCCGAGGCATGCTACCTTCTCCGGTTGAGTTGTATAGTTGTAGTCAATTCCACTGCCAAAGAAATTTAAGTAAGCTGATGGTACTTGTGTTCCAATAGGTTCATCGTCACCTGGAATGGCAGCAAATAACGAAGGGGATTGGTGTTAGTATAAATAGGAATGTGTATATTAGTGAACAAGTTTTGGTTAAAAAAAAATCCATTTTCCACATAACATTTATTAAAAAAAGTGTCATGTTTTTTTCATTTAAAAGTTTGATCTTTTCATTTTTTTTTGCCTGTACTTCTTTTTAGTGTAGGACGGATGGTATTGAAAATGGGCGAATGGTATTGAAATGGACGAAAACTGCGATATTTTAGTAGTCAATATATTCGCGAAACCATGGGACAAATATAGTAAAACTGCGTTTCTTTTATTCTCTCTGAGGTCATGATTTATTTTATAGGACTTTGTAATTTCAAAGAAATGATTAATTTCAAAAATTATTTAAAAAATTCAATGCAATGTAGAATAAAAATATTGGAACCCATGAAAGAGGAAATTTCTTTAGAATAAAAAAAAAAATTAAAATCTTTTGGATTCACAAGGACGCATTGGTAATTTTTAAGCTTATGAAGTTAGAAGGATGAAATTCGAGGATTTTATCGAGTTTATATAAGTCCTTAACATATAATTTTTTCAAAAACAAATATTGCGAAATTTCAAGGATAAAATTTTAAAAAGACATTTTCAATACTTACTAGTCCTTATGTACCAAAACATTCTGTTTAAATCTGTTTAAATTCTACAGAATTTTCTATATAATTTTATACCCGTACTTCTTTTCTAAGCACATTTCACTTAATTATTGAAATCATTTTTGAATTACTGACGTCAGAGTGAAGAAGTAAAATCGCAATTTTACTATATTTGGTACATGATTTCGCGAATATATTGATTTTTGTACGTAAAATTTACTATCGCACGGTGTTATATGTATAATGAGCTAGACGTTCATAAAAAAAAATATTAATTTTTAATTAAAAATAATAATTTAGCCAATACTGGTCAATAAAAGGAGTCTGTATTATTGCCACCAGAGCAAATTATTAATCCCGAAAATCCGGGGATTATTTTCCAAGAATCCCGGGTTTTCGGGATCTAAAAAGGAGGTTTTTGTTTTTTTTTAGTACCTTCTTTTGCCTTCTTTTACTGTAACTAGTGCGTTTTCTTGCCGTTTTCGCTATTTTATTTTGCCTTTTATAGTCTATTTCATAATTCTATTTTGCTTTTTATAGGTTTTTAGGTCCTAAAAATCCATTCCCTGCTTATAGCACTTGTAGTACACATAAGCAAAAGAAACAATTCATACACTAGGTATGGCAGCGATTAATCATTTGATTAAATTAATCGATTATTTTTGCCTAGGTTACGATTTAATTGTATCGTAGTTTGGTGTGTCATTAATCGAATATTAATCGATTAACTGTAAACTAATCGTAAAATTATTGGCAAGAAATATGAATTCTGCAGCTTTCTAAAATTTCAAACAGTCGCAGGAATTGCTCAAGTTCAGAGCGTACAATGGTGTAAATAGTTGGGCATGTAAGCCCATTGTAAAGGCTACAAAACTAAGTGTGGCAACGTTAAAGGCCCTACACATTCACTGATTTATCGGCGAACAGTTGGTCAAATGCTAGAAGTTGGTTGTAAATAAGCCGTATGCAGGTCGACTTTTTTATACCCCAGAAAAATCAACGGAATTTTTTAGCGACTTTAAATTTGCTCTAAAATTTAATGGACTATAAAACTGCACACTCGAATTTTTTGTAAAAAATCTTAGATATTAACAAGTTTGAAATTTGTTGAAAAATTTTCTGAAATTTCCTTAAAATTTTTTTTATATTTTTTTTTAACAAAAATCAACAACAAAAATTTACTGTGAAAAACCTTCTGAATATCGTAAAAAAATCCATGGAAAATACTTCTGTGCGTCACCGCCATACTCACAGCTTATGTAAATTAAAGTTCTTTAAATTAAGCGCTAACAAAATTTACAGTTTTTTTCAAAACTTCCGGTTTTGTTTGAAGTAAATTTTTAAGACAAAATGGGGGGCTGGAAATGCGGTGTTCGCTCGTTTAATTTTTAATCAAATTAAAATTTAGTCAGTTGTACTGTACTTTCCAAAAACATCTTCGTTTTTTTAAGGTTAAAGTTTTTTGTTGAAAATACAGTTTTTTTTTGGAAATTGACTTTTCTAATCTGGCAACACTGACCTCTGGGCTGTTTATACACAAGAGCATACGTATAAACTAACACCCAAATTCATAAAAAATAAAGAAGATTTTAACTGTTTTATAAATCGAAAATTTTTATGAAAATTTCACTTTATAGAGCCTACTTTATTTTTTATGAAAAAGGCCATAATACACACTTGCATTATTGTATTAGTTCATAGATATTGCTAAAAGGTGTCGTTAGGCGTAACTATGATATTTATTTTGGAAAGTCTTTCAATTGCAAAGATTTCGAAAAGTAATTGCAAGTGTATTAAAATCTTTTTAGTATCAGTTGCAATAAAAACTTGCCAGGTTTTATTTCCAAAAGTAATTGCTTAGAAGTAACGAGTGGTACTTATCGGCTGTTTATACTTGAATGGTGGTTTTAGCAACTTGAGAGCAAAATGCTTTGAAAAAGTACCTCTATTGCCACGCCTAAGCGCACATTAAGTAGCAAGAACTATTTTGTGACGGAAAATTTTTTTTTCAACCCGCTGAATATTTTCTTGAAAAACGCATTTATTCGGATACGTAAAGTCATTGACACTCGTACTATAGTTTAGCAGAAACTTACCTGCTTCGACGAGCAAAACTGTCCACTGCGGTACTTCGGAGAGCCGCGCAGCAACAGCCGAACCAGCAGTACCGCCACCAATCACAACAAAATCATACGTACTATCGGGCTCGGAACGGAACTGACACATGTATGAGAGAGAGGGGGAGAGAAAAGTAAATGAATTTGTTATTATTGGAACATTCTGAATTAAAAACGTGCAAACCTAGAAAAAAATTTATAATTAAAAAACATTTAATTTGTATTAACGTTTTGTGTTTCTTTACTCTGCTGTTGAGACTTACTCTTGGCGTGGCACGACCACAGGGATCCTCGATATCGCATTGCGAGAGCAGGAATACTTCAAGGACACCCATGAAAAGTGCATAGGCGCTTCCACCACAGGTGGTGGCCAATGAAGGTGTGAGTGGTGAAGTCACCGGACAACCACAATGGCTGTAGAGGTAAGACATGTTGCTTCTGTAAAGAAAAATTAATAATAATAAACGAAAAAGGATGAATAAGCAATTAAAATCAGTCTAAATTTGAGAGAACAGATTGGAAATGAATGCGGTCTCAAGAAAATGGTGCAGACCCATGGTGAAATTAAAAACAGGTGAAGTAATTAAACAGCTTTCTCGTTTTATTCTCTTGACATGCTCTTGAAATTCCTTTTTAAAAATTAAACGAAATTAAAAAAAAAAATAATAATAATTTTTTTTTTTAAGATGATATATTCTAAATATGAAAAGAAATTTAAATTTAAAAAAGAAATTATGAAAAAATAAGAAAAAAATATGAGTAGAAAACGAAATAAAAAAAAAAATATGCTGTAATATCCTGAGTTTCGCCTGAAAAAAAAACTCACCCGAAAATTTGTCAACCGCCTGTAGTAAAACCATGTAAACCAAAAGTGAAAAGTGAAGCGGTTTGGGGAAAATGAAACTTATGATAAGGCTGATTGGTGCTTAAAAAAAATGAACTTTAAAAAATTTAAAATTAATATCAAATAAATTTCTAAAATTAAAAAAAAAAAAAGTATATATACAACGATTTTTATCTTTAAGACAATTAAATCTATAAATTAATTGTTTATTCTATTTTTATTTATTTATCTAAACAAAAATTTACACAAATAAGTTTCATTTTCCCCGAAACGGTTCTGTTTTGGTTTCCATGTATTTAGTTTTCGGGTGAATTTTTTTTCGGGCGAAACTCAGGAAGAGCAGAATATTTTTATAGTACACTAACTTCATTTGGTGCTCTGTTACAGAAAATTAAATTAAAATAGGCAAACACAAAAAAATCGTTAAATTAAAGAAAGGAAAAAAATTTCGCTGTCCGAGGACTCGAGCCTCGAATCTCTCGGATGACACACCAGTGCTTTGCTCACTAGGCCATTGCGATTGTTGGAGCAGCGTGGGCAAAATGATATACATTTCCATTTGGGACCCACTCAAGTGCTTCCTCTCAAAAGAGCTTTTCATCGTAAAAGTTGGCTAGTAAGCTTTTCTTTTTTTTTTGTAAACATTTCACGCCGGAATAAACAAAGTCTTTCAAGCTATGTTGCCGACCTCTTTCGATTGTCTTGCAAAAGACGTTCAACTATCTTAGCCAGAATTTTCACAATTCATCAACTCTCACCATTTCTAATCCTTCCCACTATTATTTTGTCATTTCTGGCCTATTTCGTTATTTTATTTTGCCTTTTTTATAGGTTCTTAGGTCTACAAATCCGTTCCTTGCTAATCACCAACACTATTTTCGTTAAAAAATTCTCTATTATGATCAATTTATTGGACTCGTTAAAATTTGTTGAAATTAAAATTGTCAAACGTTTTATTAAAAGATATTTCATTGAATTTTTGTGTGCACGTACTTATATAAATATTTACCCCTTTTGAGATGTCGGCTAAATTGCAAGTACCAAAAACAACAACAGCAATCAACGTGCGTCAAAACACAAGAAAACCCATTAAAATTCAAAGCGCACCCTTTACCCGATCATCCACAACTTTTGGTGCATCTACCGCTCGTTCCATCAACTCAGCATCGAGTAGCATCAGTTCTACCAACAGCTGTCGGCAGACCAGCAATCGCAACAACAGTAAACCAAGTAAGAGCTGTACCAGCACCAGTACCAATAGTACAGTTATCAAGAATGCTTTCGCCAATAAACGTTTCAACGCACATGTCGCCAACAGTCGCACGTCACCATTTCGTTCGTTAATAACGTCGGGGCCACGCGTGCGTCAGCCACTGACACAATCCAATGATTTCGCCTACGATCTGTCGAAGGATGAGTCAAAATTTATGGGTGCGTTTAAGGGGCCAATGAAGACGGTACCCGACAGCGAGCGTGAGCTCTTGAAGAACGGTCAGCGTGGTGCCTACTTAGCGGTACGCTATGAACATTCTCCCGATCGCAAGTACAACTATCCGGAGGCGACTAGCTGGCGCATCGGTTGGCTGCATAACCAAATGACGAGAAAGGGTCTTATAATCTGAATTTAGGTTTAAAGGCTGGTCCACATAGAACTTTCGCGTTAGCTTTGGCGTTGACGTTGGTTTGACAGAACGCACGTGAAAAGTATGCTTGCTACAATGAACGCTTGGAAGCGAATGCTTGGGCCACTAAAATAATATACCAACGACAGGCAATATCAATAATTGCATTAAAAACGATATTTCTTGGCCACACACATAATTTTATTTATTTGCAACAGCTGACGAGCGACGTACGCAAAATGTTGAGACTTGGCCATCTTTTTGCTTTGTGTTGGCGTGAGCGTTGTTGAATTTTGGCTATGTGGACGGCTGCATTTGAATTCATGTATTCATAGTCAGCTGTTGAAGCGACGCCTACACCAACGCAACGCCAAAGTTCTATGTGGACGGGCCTGTAAACAGGCAGACGGCATGCAAATGCTAGTGCTCATCACTCTCCGCTTCTTGCTCTTTGCTCTGTCTCTCTGTTCGTCTCTCATTTCGTTCGGTATGTTCGTGAAGTGTAAAAAGTCGTAATATTTTACTAATAAATGTTTATAATTATTTAAACAAAAAACGCTTTTGCAAAGCTTTTAGCGAACTTTTATCGAACTTCCCCATTTTGGAACCGTCCGTGTTTGACAGCTTCAGGTTTGTACATCTGGTTCTGCGTATCTTGTCCGATATTTCAGGATAAAAGAGGGTCTTAATATGAGCTTGGGCTCAAGAAACCCCAGTTTCCGTTGTTTTCCAACAGACGATGCGCTGAGGATTATATGTGGATCAATAGGAAAGAGAGGTGTTATGATGTTTACTGAACATAAATAATTTTTTTATTTCCGAAATACAAGTATTTACATACATACGTATATCAATAATTTTCGCGAATGTAGTGTTGATTTGTAAAAAAAGGCCTATGTATATTTGCAAATAAACAAAAAAAATACAGAGATATATCAATAGAATATTCCTCTTCAGCTGCCTTTTTCCCATTTCTGATCAATTCTCTCCAGCCAATTCGGCTTGGATCTCCGCAAAAGTCTTTCCCTTGGTCTCTGGTATGAAGAAAAATATATAGACTCCTCCCACTGCCGATATGATAGCGAATATGGCAAAACAAGCTCCACCGCCAATAGCATCATTTAAGACGGGAAAAACTTGAGTCACAATGAAAGCACACGCCCAATTGGTTGTGGCAGACAGAGACCCAGCAATACCTTTGATATCATCCGGAAAAACTTCCGCCATGAATACCCATGGCACCGGACCAAAACCAACCGAGAACAGTAAAATATATATGCAAATACTGAGTAGCGGCAGCCAACCTAAATTCTCCACCGACTTTTCATCACTCTCCTTCAAGAAGAAATAAAGCGAGAGACAGGCAACAGAGATCACTTGAAAAACGGATGAGAGCAGTAAAAGTGGAACGCGACCATATCTATCGATGATAAATAGCGAAACAACGGTTGCCACGACCAACATCACACCAATAATAATCGTACCAAATCTGGGTTCCAAATTGCTGGTAGTCGATTGGAAGATACTTGACGAATAGAAAATCACTGCATTAATGCCGGAGAACTGTTGGAGTACCATCAACGATACGGACAGACCAAATGCCTTGAGCGTAACTTTGCGACACAACGCATTACCCAAATTTACTGGGTTCTCTTTCATTTCTGCGTGATTTGCTTTGATTTCATTCAATTCGGCGCTAAAATCGACATCCTTGCCGCGCAACCATTCCATTGATTTGATTGCTGGTTCAAGCTTTCCTTTTCGCACGAGAAATACTGGTGAATCTGGACAAAAAATAAATACAATGGCGAATACAAGCGGTGGCAGTGCGCATATGATGCTGAACCAGAAGGCTTTTGTGAAGGCACCAACCGCGAAGCCGTACAGCACGCCGGTAGTGATGAGCAATTGAAAGAAGCTACCAATAATACCGCGTACCTCCTTTTGCGATATCTCTGTGCAATACATGGGCGCGCAAACACAAAAGGCACCACCTGCCATGCCCGTTAAAAAGCGCGCAATATACATCATTATTTGATTCTGTGCAAATATCATTAGCGCCCAACCGATCTCGAAGGGTATGACCATGAACATCATTGTCCATTTGGGGCCGATTATTGTGATGAGTACGCCAACGGGCAGACACACAGTTGCCGCGCCCAATGTCATTAGAGAACCAATCCAGGCGTATTCGTTTGTCGAGAATGTTATTCCATAATCGTTTTCACCAGTCAACTCGGCTTGTGCTGGCGATGACCAGCCAATTGTGGCGCCACATGCCAGCGCACCTCCGGCTGCCGCCATGCCCGCAAAGTATTGTCGATATATTTTGGCCATTCAAACTTATACTAATTCCAAAATTGTGATTTTCAAACTGGCAGTTCACAAGAAAAGTTAAAAAGAAATTATTTTTCCAAAGTGACTGCTAAGGATGTAATGGATTGTAAGAGTGAATTCGATTGTGCAGTCACAGTTACAATTGCTATTGGACATGTAGTCCGTGACTAGTATCGCCCAGTGGTCGTAAGTCGGTACACTTTTTTTTTTTATCTCGTTTGTGGAATTTTTTATGTTGTTCGTCTAGGTCACTAATATTCTTAGGTGAAGTGATATACATGCTGTTATATAATTTCATAATTTATAGGAACAGAAATTAGAAGTAGATTTTTATTGGAATTCGATTGCGTATTAATATATAAGATGATATGTTGCTTCTCTAACTGATATTCGGGTTGAACTTGTACCAATCAGGACTTTAAATAGTTTTTTTTTTTAATATTTCAGTCAAAGTGGCTCTTAGAGGGTTAAGGGCCAAATTCGGCACATCTACACCAACTCATCTTTCATTTGATATGAGTTTCATTAAAAAAAAACAGTGTACCACAAAAATCATGTGTGTGTGCTAATTGTGGCAGGCCGATGTCAGAAAAGCAAAGAGATCCTAAAAAGCTTTAACATCAGCGCAAGCATAAAGCATGGCGTTCGCTGGTAGAACTTGTGAAGAGGAATGATGACCAGATGCGGTTCTGCGTGGACTACCGGAAACTAAATTATGTGACGAAGAAGGACAGCTAGAATCGATGGTACTCTGTACTCGCTGACTGGTATGAAATGGTCTTAAACTAAGTCTTTAAAAGTGAAGGAGGTGAATTAGAGCATCTACAGTGCTTCGGAAAAGATAGGGAAAGTAGTAAAAGATAAGCAGAGACCTAGGCACTTGCATGAAATACGGGGTTTTTTTGAGCTATGCACTTTTTATCGCCGATTTGCTCCGAATTTTACCAGCGTTGCTAAGGAGCTCCCTGTGTTCACTAGGAAATGTAAATATTTCGACTGAAACAAAGAACAGGAAATAGCCTTCCAATCCCTGAATGAATGGCTATTTACTGCGCCTATGCTAGCGTACATGGTTTCAGTGGTTATGCGCAGGTAATTGATGAGCAAGGGAAGGTAGTTGCCTGCTATAGCCGTTCGATTGGAAGACCAGAGAGAAACCACTGTGTAGTTCGGAGAGTAGTGTTGGTGGAGTGCACCAAACGTTTCCACAAGTACCTCTATGGGCTACGTTTTCGAGTTCATACGAATCCTGCAGCGCCAAAGTGTCTACTACAATTTAAGAATACAGAAGTACAATTATATTGGTGGATAGAGAGACGGCAAAACTATTAATTTGCTATTGACCACCGCAAAGGAAATATCCACAGAAGATCTGATGCCATGTTGCGACTACCATGTACCTTGGATTGTAAGCACTGCTAAAAAGCTGATGCCAAGAGGACTTTAAAGACGCCCGGCTTAAGGCAGCGGAAGAGAGGGTTGGCAAGACAACTACGAATATGTCATCAGGAATATCTGGATTTAAAACTTTTGATGCACGGATTGGAGATGGCGACATGCGGCCAACTCAGGAGCAAATGGCAACGGTGAGCCCAAAAGCAAAGACACACTGGGCACAATGGAACAGCTCAAAGTTTCCGCAATATAATAGTAGTTCCAAGGGTAAGAATTCCGGACGTTCTCAAGGAATTTCACAATGGCCCCTGTGGAGGGCACCTAGGAATCAATTGGGTTGGTTGTCGTCAGTCGACCGCTAAGTGGATTACTAACTGTGCGGAGTGTATTGCAGCTAAAGGGCCTAAATCCAGAAGTCATTGCCAAATGAGGCAGTATAACTCAAATTCGCTATTCGAGCGAATTTCCATAGATGTAGTCGATTAATTGCCTATGAGCAGAAGAAATTTTGAATGGGCGGTGTTCCAAGAGATGTGGCATACATATACTGGGTGTCCGAAAAACTTGAACAACGGCTCTTCATCATAAATCAGATATAACGGTATAACCCTGTAGAGCATTTGAGAAAGTTCGTGTACGCAAATTATGAATGACAAAAGGAATGCCAAGTACGATAAGGCGATGATTTGACAATCCGGTCAAATGTACCTGAAGGTTTTAGTAATTCAGAGATTAATTCAAAGATAATCGTATCAAGTGTAATTCGAATCCTTATGAAAACACACTAGGCGTGTTTCTTAACTTTTTACAGCTGATGACAGCAGATTGGCGAAGAGTATAATTTTCCTCGCAAAGAGATCGAAAGAGGAAAAAGTAAAGAAACGAAAATTAACAGAAATTTCCAAGCACTGTATATATATACACACACACATCTTCAAATGCATGTACAAATACTAACATTCTGCAATATTTCAATGTGTTTTGATAAAGATGCACTCATTTTGTTTTATTTAAACGAATTAAAATAAACTTGCCAACTTTTTCTTTTGTTGTGTTAAGAAACGCTTTCCAGCAGAATCCATTCAAAATGTGTGATAATTATCTGTTAAGAAACAAAGCTACTATAAAAAACTACCCAATTACCAGCTGATTTCCGGTAGTGCATTTGGTCCCAAACAGCTGATTTCCGGTGAATTTGGTCCTTAAGACTGCGTTTATACACGAAAACTTTTGTCGCCTCGATTTTTCACATTCCCTTTTGGTGTTGCTCGTTTCATTTACACACGGCGATTTGTGTGTATGCAATTGTTGTTGTCAGCTGTGAACAGCGGTTCAATTTGCACAGACGAACGAGAGCACAAAGCGTGTTGCCCGAGCACGAGCAACTCGGTGCCCCTCTCCTTTCCTCGTCGCGCTCTCTCCTACAAACGTCGAGTTGCGGCAACAAAAATCGCCGTGTGTAAATGAGCACTAACCATGAACCAATTATATATCTCTTTCAACTATGGTCCTTAACCGATTCCGGTTATGCATTTGGTCCCTAACCGATTGAGAATTTCCCAAAATATTTGTGTGCCCGTCGAACAGCTGATTTCTGAAAGTTAATTTTGCGTGAATTTGTTAAACTTTTTAAGCCAAGCGCTGTAAATTATCAAATGGGTGGCTGGCAGCTAGAAGTATTCAAAATGACATTGTACATGTCCTTCCCTGTTGCAATGTTTCACATTTTCAATCAACCAGCTTACTTTGAGGAATGGGTAACTAAGACCAGGCGCGAGCTATATCCGCCGGAGAGCATGGGTCATCGCGAAGAAATACAAAAGGCGATAAGGGAAGTGCAACAAAAACGAGACAAGGAAATGTTAAAGGCTTTAGAGGATATAGAGAAGCGTGAAAAATCATAAATTACCGTAGGGCAGAACTTGTGTTGTTATATAAGGTTATTTGTTGTTGGTCGCATTGTATACCTTTAATATACTAGATTTTAATTATCATGAAAAATAAGTTTATAACAAAGTGTATTTTTTTATAACTAGGCATTTTTATTGCTGTGACACCTAGATGGTGACCTCACTCAAGCTTCAGCACTATTTAGTTCAATTGTTTAGTTAAACGCCTTGGCACTCACGCCACTGGCGGTTATAATTTCGAGAAATGGGAGAACTTCGTTTACTAGTGAACCAGTGTTAACACCGATAAATCGTTCCAATGACAGTCGGGTCTGCGTAAGCCGAACGACCCAGATTTATATCTGGCCAAAGACTCCCGCAAAAACTCTTTGGGGAATTTCTATGCTGTTACAACAACAACAGCAACAACCGATAAAAATTTCAGCATCGAAATCCAATGCAGAATCACTCTTGCTAACAAGTGGTACCGAGGCAATTCAGGAGTAAAGTTCTATCTCTCTATCTATCTAACAACATCCAAGGAGGCGGCTCTTGGAGTATTCGAGAGAAAGATTTTGCGGAAGACTTACTTGGAGATTTACAACGACACATACAGCGACTCCGCTGGCTTGGCCATGTGATTCGAATTATTGTAATCATTCATCGAACGAACTTTTAGATTACGATTACAGTAATTGTAATTATAAAAAAGTTGAAATTGCGATTACTGTAATCGTAATCTCAAAGCTTAAACAGACAGCAGTGTTGATCCGGATTAACTCGGACTTAATCCGGATAAACTGCAGCTAATTCCCCAGTTGATCCGGATCAACGCTGCCGTCTGTTTATGATTTAAGATGCCTTCGATGGACGATTACCGCAATCTAAATTTAATAATTTTTGAAATTGTGATTAAAGTAATCGTAATCCTAGATGCAATCGATTACACATGCAATCCTTATCGCCCAGCTCTTCTTAAAACACCATGGGAAATATTTGTAAGGGTTATTGATCTATAAGCTTACAACAGAAAGTGCTTACCTAAGTGCTTAATAGCATGCCTACAATACCATAACATAAAGGGTAGAAAATGCTCTCGACCGATTTTCGCCACTTTCCTAATCTCTATATTTATGTAAATGTAATATTATTTTTTCGAAACATTCACAATTAATTATTTTTTGTATGAAATGGTAAATTCTTTCACAAGAAAAAAATACAACAAAAAATACAATTTTTCTATTTACTTTTATTTACATATGTATGTAAATACATATGTTTGAATATAAGTACATATGTATGTATGAATTTAACTTAAATATTTACGTTTTACATAATTTAAAATTAACTACAGTTACGTTTTTATAATGCGTTGCCTTGGATAAAAATGTAATTCTTTATCAGTATTGTTAAAAAAAGAGCTTTCAAAAGCCTTAGAGAAACCACGCATTTATGGTATAAATTAAATTATTGCAGATTACCTTATCCTTCATGTAAAGGCAAAATTAAATCAACCACAGTCACATAACCCTTTAACCAGATACATATTTCATTTACTATTCATAGTAGTAGCCTTTCCACTCTCTTCTAATTCAATGTACTTTTCAAGTATTTGAAACATCTCTACTTGTGCTTTTATTTTGTGACGGCGAGACAATTGCCTTAGGTATACGGCAATCGATTTGCCAAAAAGATCATCTTCATTTTCAGCAACTGGTGCACCTTGATATGAATTGGGTTGTTGTTGTTGTGTTATTGAATTGGGCCGTTGCTGAATCTGTAACTGCGATTGTTGTGAACTGGATTGCTCATCAGCAAAGAACGTAGATTTACGTTCTTTCACGCCAGCATACAAATCATGATTTGGTTTATGCTGGCTCGCATGTGTCAAAGTGGCGTGGTTTTCCGGTGTTGACATTTCGTGGTGTCCATGACTTGTTGATAGCGTGTATACTGCGTGATTGGGATCGTGCTGCGTAACAACTATGGGCACAACAGTGGCATTTATTTGCTTAGAACTGGAACTGGTCCTGAAGTGGCTGGCTGGTTGCTGCTTGATATCTGTCTCAGACGCGGGTGTTTCAACACATTCTTCATATACATCGCCTGCATCCACTTTGAACAAAAGTTAAATAATTGACTTCTTTTTTAAATTTAGTTTTAAAAAGATAAAATTACCGTCCACGAACTCTGGATATTCTTCCGTTTCCATGGTGCTTTCGTCTATTTTATCAGCGTATGCGTCTGATTGTGCGTCATTGCAGTTTTCTAAACTATATCCGTCATCTTCCTCTGCTCCGGAATTTTGAGTTTTATTTGGCAGTTGCGTGGCATGCTCGATACTGATTGTATTCTTGAAATCTGGGCCTTGAAATTCATATTCCAAATAGCCATGGCGGCGCCGATTTCTGATTTTTGAAAAAATAATAAATGAAACATGTGTATGATATGAAAGATAACATGGTACTTCACAAAACGAATATACAAATTTATATAGCTTGCGTTTCTGAATCAAGAACCGGCCGGAATGTTCATATCTCATTCCGATGGGGCCATCCACACAATAACTGCAGCGTAATGCATACTAACCTTCGCTTTCGAACAAATCTGCGTAAGAAATCCATTTGACGAAAAAAGGGATTATTACCATACTCATTCTTCTCCGGATGCATTCGCACTTGCTTCAGCTCACGCGAATAACGATCACGCAGGCAAGTCCATCGGCGTCTAGCCTCCGCTGACGACATACCAATCATCGAGCCCACTACTTCCCATTCCTGTTCTTTACGATAGGCGAGACGAAAGTCCGGATCTCGTGGGTCATACAATGCTGGCGTCATTTTCACTCGGCCAATTAATGCCAAGTCAGAGTCTTCCAGAGCTCGATGGCCAGCCATTTTATATGCAACTCAAAAGATCAAATGAAATTTTTTTGTAAATAAACTAATGGTTTGTTTTATTTATGTGGCAAGCGCGTTTGTTTATATTATCCATTAAATTTGTTGACAATTTTACGTAGAGAAATGCGTTTTTGCGTGCCGTGAAGAATATCACAGTATCCCCGAAACGCATAAGGCAAAAATACGATAGATGCCGCAAGTGCCTTAGTATTGTAATAACTAGTTTACAATTGTCAGATTATCGACATGGAAGGTTTTAAAAGATTTTATAAATATTTTAAAGTTAAACAAAAATGTGGAATGTTAGTACATATTTTTAGGTGCTCAAAATTTTTTGCGTACTTGCAAAAATTATTATAAAACTGAGAAAATAATCAAGGGACTATATAAAAATATTTGAAATTGGTCTTTACCAAAATTACTTGGGGGTTTACATAGGACGATTTTGCGAAGACAATAGTAAAACATTCACACTTTTTACTAACACATTCACACATCTCTCATTATTATTATTATTCTCTCATTAGCTCTGATCCAATACTGTTCGTGTAAAATCCTGTAAAAATGTCAAACAGCAAAATTACTCCCTGAAGCGAGAGTAAAAAGTGAGTAACCACAAAAAGTACGGGACCAAAAAAATCATTTTACACGTGAAAACGTCAACGAGTGATCGCTTAACCAGAAGAAAGAGTTTTGTTAAAATCTTGCAATTTCGTTCTCTATACATATCTTCAAAAATCGCTCTCATTTACATGATTTTGAAGGAATTTGGAGTACGGGATCATTTTTCCTGCAACTTCCTGATAGTTCGTGTAAAACCTGTAAATTCATGGAGTACTGCATCAGAGCTACTGTCTTTGATTTTTCGAAGACAGTGGCAGCCAATTTGGGAAAAATGGGCAATGCATAAATGCAAAAAATCGCAGAATTATGAAAAATTGGTTTATGTTTGGATATGTTAGTAAATAACTAGAGGATTCCCTTAAACTCGTAAAGCTCGTAAGTGTAAAATTCGTAAGTTTACGAGTCTTTTATTAGGTTTGTATATTAACCAATAGTCAGTACTAATTTGTGCTGGAACCTGCAAATTTTTAATGGAAAAGTGTATGATAACCCAAAAAATTTGCAAGAGAGCACTGAATCGAGAGCGTACCAACACGGGAGAGCTGCAAATTCTTGCTAGTGAAATTTTTACTAGCAGAAATTAGCTAGCAGAAGAAGAAGAAGAATAAATGTCAAAAGCCGCCATTTGTTGAATTGGTTTAGCACAAACAAAAGTAAAAGGAGTTTAAATCAAAATATTGTGACTGTGTAAGTGCTTGTATGTAAAGCAAAGAGTTTAAGACTGATTTATAAATAGTAAAATATTTACAGCAGAATGTCAAAACATTGCAACGACTGTTCACTTGCAAGTCTTTGCTAGGTTTGTGTTCATTAACTTTTTCTGCTAGTTTTCTCTTCTTCTCAATTTTACGCTCTATTTTGCTTTTATGCTCTCGCTGCAATGTTTTACTGGAGAAGTTACTATACAAACCTATTGTAACGCCCCCTATGTGAAAAGATGTAAATAGATGCGTAAAGTGACTGTTCGACAAATCAACCAGGATTTTGTGAACCAATTTTTGTTTCGTAGTATTTTCCATAACATCCCGCCGTCTTGTCTCTATCTTGTCTCTTGGCTAAAATAGCTTATCTCTGCCTCAAACCACAATGAGATAAAACGTTTTAATTTTCGTGATGCTGACTTTGATTCTTTAAATTCAAGTCTTCTCGCAATAGACTGAAAATCAGCTTTCCTTTCTAAAAATGTTTCGGATTGTTATGAAATTTTCCTACTCAAAATCAACCAACTATTTTCTAATAGCCTATCTTGCCTTCCATCGCGAATCCACAAGCTTCCGTGATATACGAAGGATTTAAAAAGATTGAAAAATCTTAGAAATAAGTATTTTAATTTATATAAGTCCAGCAAAAATGATTCTCATAAGGAGAAATATATTCATTATATGAAAGATTTCAATGTCCTCGATAAGTTCTTATACAAACAATATATTTCTCGATTTGAACATGAGCTAAAAGTAAATCCCAAAGCGTTTTGGAAATACATTCGATCTAAGAAAGGGTGCTCCAATATCCCTTCTTGCATGTCATATTGTGGTAGGAAATCAGAAAACGTCTTAGACTCCGTAAATCTTTTTGCGTTTTGCGGACTTCTTCAAATCTAATTATATCAGTGATGCCGACCTATCCGGATGTAAAGTGGACGACATTCCGCAGTCTGTAGATTTTGGCTCTTTGTCTGTCACAAAGCAAGATGTTATAAACGGCATCTCTGCTCTGGAATTGTCCTTAAAAAGTGAGAGATGGGCTCTCTTCATACGTGCTCAAGAAATGCGGTGCGTCATTTTGCGTACCACTAAAATATATTTTTAATCTTTCGCTGGCCTCGGGTGATTTTATTAATCAATGGAAAATTGCCTCGATCTCCCCAATTTTTAAATCTGGTAACAAAAACGATGTTACAAACTACATACCTATATCTAAACTTTCGACTTGCTCGAAACTTTTTGTGAAAGTGGTCAAAGAAAAACTATTCTTTGCCATCAAAGGTTCCATTAATCCGTGCCAGCATGGTTTTGTGAGCGGTCGCTCGACTGCCACAAACCTAGCCTGTTCTTCCTAATTTTTGCATAACTTCGTTCAAGATGGGACGTCAGGTAGACGTTGTCTACACCGATTTCTCAAAGGCTTTCGATACAGTCACTCACAGCATTTATTGCGCAAACTTGAGTGTTTAGGTATACACTCTACATTTCTGTGCTGGGTTAGATCATACCTTTCCAATAGATTTTTTTTTGTTGAGATCGAGAATACGAGATCATACGCCTTCGAGGCCACTTCTGGGGTACGCCAAGGGAGCATCCTAGGCCCAATACTTTTTTTTTAATTTATTAATGACGTTGGAGCCTGCTTTAAGCATTCCAAGTTTTTGCTATACGCTGATGACCTAAAAATCTTCAGAAGTGTCACTTCTATGTCAGATGTTTTGCTACTACAAAATGATCTTAACAACTTAACTACTTGGAGCATCAGAAATAACTTACCGCTTAATATTAAAAAATGTCTCCATATGACTCTTTCAAAGAGCATAAATACGCATAAGTCGGCTTATTATCTGTTTGATAAAAGACTTTCTTCAGTTAAGAAATTTTCAGACCTAGGAGTGATGTTTGATTCGGGATTTACCTTCATTAACCACATTAGCTATAACATTCCTAGAGCCTACTCTAATCTTGCTCTTTTGCGGCGCTATGGTAGAGATTTCAAAGATCCCTACACCCGAAAAATTCTGTATAACTCGCTGGTTCGTTCGAAGCTTGAATACGCCTCTTTAATCTGGAGTCCAATTTACTCAACTCATTCCTCTAGACTTGAAAGTGTGCAACGAAGCTTTATTCGCTTCGCTCTTACGCTTATAAATCTGAAATCACTTGAGTCTAGGCGATGTATTCAATATCTGCTTTTCATATACGATGTTATTAATGGCTTAGTAGACTGTCCAGAGCTTCTTCAGCAAATAAATTTCAATGTTCCATATAGAAATTTACGCACTCATTACCCGTTTAATATTAAAGTTAATAAAGCTAATTATTACAATTATGACCCCATTTCCAGAGCTCTCATTTAACTTAATAGAATTTCCAAGGGCCTTGATCTGGACTTCGCCTTCCCGAGATCTCGTTTTGGTTCATTACTAGAATCAATGTATTCCTAATTATATACTTTAAATATCGAATTTACACTTAAGACGAAAGCTTGTAATCTAGTTTGTAAGATTTGTAAATCATTATAATAATATGTCTCCATTGTGAGATTTAATGAAGATTTAGCCCTCTGACGAGATTTGACGTTAAATCTTTTGAGATTTACCATATAAAATTAAATCTCGAAAGGCAGTAGATTTAAGTTAAATCTTCGTCAAATCTTCAATAATATTGATCAATAAGTACAATTTGTTGGATGTGGCAACCACAAATTCACATGCTATAAGTCAAATGACATTTGTGTTTTCAATATACAGTTGAGGACATTGAAATCTAGCCTATCATAAAAACATGAATTTTCGTATTTCTAGGGATTTTTATATTTTTGTTAGTTTGGGAGGAAAATTATTAATACATATTTACATAACATTGGTTGTAATAAATTAAGAAAATATTATTTTAAAAACTAAAAATTTAGAAGAAATGTTTTATAGTAATATCTCCGCTTTCTATAAGTCATTTACGCGCTGCGACAAAAAATTTATTAATTTCGGTAATGGTTCTGGCCCACGATTGGATTTTCGGTTCCCTCCTATGAATACGAGAGTTCTACAAAAATTTTTCTTTCCGCAAATGTTTTTTACCGTTTTGATAATTTTTCTTAAATTCGGGAAAATGATTCGGAATATAGTACTGTCTTTACACTTTCCAAACTATATATTATACATACATATTTACCACGAATAAGAAACCAATAATATTCAGAATTCATATAATAAAATTCCGCTTGGTACCTTCCCTTTATCTGTCTGTATATCAATGTCCGCAACTGTATTTATAAAATCATACATAAGCAGACGTCAAATATTTAAAAATGTGAACGTGAAACATACCTCGTCGTGGTAATGGAGACGGTTGTGATTTAGCAACTGGATTTATTAAATCTTAATGGATAAATCTCTCAATGGAGACATAGTATTAATAAATGAAATGAAATGAAAATACAATAAAAATGCCGACAATTATCAGAAAACCTTAGTCAACACAGTGAGGGACCAGTTTTTCAGTGCAAGGCCGTGGTTTAAACCATGGTGAAATTATATCAGGTAAAGTAATTAGAGTGAGAAGAAAGATTTTGACACTGCCTTATTTGAAAATGTGCCTATAAAATTTGACTATAAGGCAGCCAAATGTCAGAAAATAAAGCGAGAAAGCTGTTTATTACTTCACCTGTTTATTGCGCCATGGGTTTAAACTAATTTCAAATGCCGGTTTTGGCTGGTTTAAACTGAGATCAGCCAATCAATTGTCAGCCAGCTGTTCAATTCAAACTCAGTTTACGAGGTTCGTAAATTAACGAGGTTTACGAGGCCAAAACAGCTGAGCGAGTGCTGCATACGCCAACTCCAAATGAACGG